GCAGCTCTGCTCTATGTCCTGCTGTGCAGCCCGCAGTGGGTGATGTCAGACTCAGATGAAGTTGTCCTGACTGAGTGGGAGATCTGGAAGAACAGCCACAGTGTATCCTATGATGAAATGGTGAGAAAAAATAGTGGAAAATGAAAAATGTGAGTCCACTTTAAAAAAAATACAGGCCCCAATAATAAATGCACATGTGCTCTGATTCTCATTTCTTTGATGTGTTTTCTGTAATCACACAGGATGACATGCAAAGAAGGGCCATCTGGGAGGAGAATAAGCAGATGATTGAAGACAATAATCAAGAGTTTTTCATGGGGATGAGGCCGTTCACTATGGCTATGAATAAATATGGAGACCTAGTAAGGCCTATTGTTTCCCTCTCAATCCTATAAGATTCCACAATTACAAATCAAGGCCACATATCTATCCATCCATCCATTTTCCTCCGCTTATCCGGGACCGGGTCGCGGGGGCAGCAGTCTAAGCAAAGATGCCCAGACATTAAAATATGCTAAAGGGTATTTCAAGTAAATATGAAGCCTTTGGTGACATTAACAAAGTGAGTTTGGGGAGAAATCCAATTAACGACCTAATTTTAAAATGTCAGTGTGGTTTAATTATCAATAATTTAAAACTGTAAAATAAACATGTCGTAGTGTCCTTGGGCAAGATATTGAATCCTTAGTTGCCCCTGGTGGCCAGGCAGCATCTGACAGCACCACCATCAGTAAGAAATTTCCCCATGGCGCTTAATAAAGTATAATAAATTTAAATAATAATAATAACAATATTATAGTAGTAGTAGTACATTGCATTTTATTGATCTGGACACATCTGTCCAAACTGACTATTCAGACAAAGCCCATTCTGGGTCAAAATAAAGACACTGGTGAGGTCTTACACTTCAAAGAATAGTCTGACATATTTGGAAATGGATTTCTTTACTTTAAGAGTCACATCTTCTCATTCATTGTGATTCTACAGCCAGTAGGTGGCTAACTTATTGGAGCATAAACAATGGAATAGTGGAGAGACAGTCTAGTCAGTCTAGTGTATCTCATGTGTTTAATCTTTACTTTTGGATAAAGCGAGGCTAACTGTTTCCTTCCATTTAGGCTTTGTGCTAAGCTATCCTGTTGCTGGTGGTAGCTTCATATTTAGCATACAGGCATGAATTGTATAGCTAATTAGCTTTAGAGATGCACATCGATGGATTTTGTTATCTTTGGACAGAGCCAGGCTAACTGTTTCCAGTGTTATTGTTAGGCTAAGCTAACTGCTGCTAGCTGTATTAAACATATAGGCATTAAAGTGGTGTTGAGCTTTTCATCTAACTCTTGGTAATTCCCAAAATGTCAAACTATTCCTTTACAATTCTTTGGCTTAATAAATAAGGTAAGTTGTTTTGATTAAATAATTTTCAAAATTGTATTTATTAATAACTGGACCAAATGTAGCTCTCCAATGGCACAGACAGCAATGGCAGCCTTGGTTACTGGCGCTCTCTTGTGTTTGTTGTTTTTCTTTGTTCCTCTGATGAACACTTGACCCACCACAACAGTATGACTGGACAATAACCCTCAGTGCAATAACTGTAAATATACATTGTACAGATTGTTATACTATACAGCCTTATGTTGGTCTACTGTTTACTTGCCCCTTGCATGGGGATATGTACGTGCACATTGAGAACCGATGTACCAGAGTCAAATACCTCATGTGTCTGACACACCTGGCCAATAAAGCAAATTTTGATTCTGATTCTGATATTAAACCTGTTAAAACCTGTTCAAATGGGCGGGGGACCTCTTTTTGTTCTCCATATGTAGACAAGACAGGAATACCAGGTTCTGCAAGGTGCCACAATAGATACCCAGTTTGCAAAGAGAGGGAAGGCCATCTCTGCCCGAAGGCTGCGTAACAATGCTAAGAAGCTAGATGGTTGGTTTGTTGACTACAGGAATATGGGTTATGTCACTCAGGTGAAAGATCAGGTAACATATTTCTAAAACACCTTAACAGACTTAATCAAACTGAAATATGAACACCTTCAAATCAAGGTTTTAAATATTTTTCACAGGGTTACTGTGGCTCATGCTGGGCATTCAGCACTACGGGAGCTATTGAGGGACAATTATATAAGAGGACCGGTCAACTTATATCCTTGAGTGAGCAGAATCTGGTGGACTGCTCCAAGTCGTATGGTACCTATGGCTGCAATGGTGCTTGGATGGCCAATGCTTATGACTACGTGATCAACAATGGGCTGCAGTCAACAGACACCTACCCTTACACCTCACTGGTGAGTCTGCTGACTTGGTCTCCATCTGAACAGTCACACAGTTCAATAATCTGTCTGTGAAACTGTATTTCTCTCAACAGGATACCCAGCCCTGCTACTACAACAGCAGACTTGCGGTTGCTCATATTAAAGACTACAGGTTTATACCCAAAGGAGATGAACAGGCTCTGGCTGATGCCGTGGCAACTATTGGTCCAGTCACAGTGGCTGTTGATGCTGATCATCCAAGCTTCCTGTTCTACAGTTCAGGTTAACTGTCTCAAATATTCCCTTTACATAGCCGTCTTGTCAGCATTGAAAAGGAGATTTTCTAAAATTTAAAGCTGCTTCAGTCAATGTTTTTATATTAACATTAAATCATTTTATTACATCTGGATAAAAGGTGTCGCTCGTAGTGACAAAACTGCAGGTAATTATTGTCCAAGTCTGCAATATTAGATTTACATGGGATTTATGTTCATCATGTGACCAGAAACTCAGCTTGTGTTTCTCCATGACTGCAGAATGTATGAAAAAACTCCCCATATGAATTTAAAAGGCAGTACTGCTGTATACAAATGCTGTCATTACAGTTGGTCTCTGCTGGTTCTAGGTGGGCAAAACTCAGCTAATGCCAGTTTAAATTTCTTTTACAGGAATATACGATGAGCCTAACTGTAACTCCAATAATCTGAGTCACGCAGTGCTGCTGGTTGGCTATGGCTCTGAAGGAGGCCAGGACTATTGGATCATCAAAAACAGGCCAGTTCACCAATGAACTTACACTTTAGAAAAACATAGGGTGATTCATCCATCCATCCATTTTTGATACCGCTTAGTCCCAAACGGGGTCATGGTTGATTCATCAAATGCTATTTTTTTCTATAATATTTTTGTTTTAATATGAATGTTTGTTTTTTATTTGCAGTTGGGGGACCAACTGGGGTGAAGGCGGCTACATGCGAATGATCCGGGATGGCAAAAACACTTGTGGCATTGCAAGCTATGCCTTGTACCCTATTTTATAATTTAGATGTTTCAGGAGCAATGAAGCTAATACTCATGTCTTCCACTGGCCTGTCAGTGGAGCTCCAGGAAACATCACTCATTACAGCTAATTTCATTTCTGAAGTAGTCCTGTTATCCATATTTTCTGCTGAACAATTCTGACACTGTTGTCAAAACCCCCAAATATGGTAAACAATTAAAATAGTTAAAGCAAAACAATATAACATTGGTCAGAAGTCATAAATTCCTCCATTTAGAAACAAAAAGTTGAATTTGTGAGTAACAAAATACACACAGACATTTTGCTACTACAACCTTTCTTAGCCCAGTAAGATCAGTAGCTTATAGTAACTAATTTTGGCTACTGTTAGCAAACTTACAGTAGTGTATCATGGACATTACTGAGTGAACTTGCTGATTTTATGACTGTTTTCCATTTGTGCTACTGTTATAGTAGCTTAGCATTTTAGAAATGCTATACAGCTCAGCATTTAGTGGCAGATGTTCATCACACTTCCAGAACAAAAGATTTCACAAAGACCGGTGAATTAATTTTGCTGTGCCACTTTCTGGAGTGCCCAGGCCTCTGCTCTCGCCTGTAGCCACACTGGCCACTGTTCCTAAAGAATTACATGGTCTTGTTTTATCATATTATTAAAAATTATTCATTGCCACTATGCTATCCCAATCATTTAGGAAACTATACCAAATAGAGTAAATCAGGATGTCTTGCTTGTGAATTTTTGACTCATCAGTCACTGTGACTGGGCAATGATGGCCACCTATTTCAACTGTCATGACTGCAAAACTTTGGTATTTTTGTTACAGTAACACTTGTTTCATGTAGTAGAAACTGACAAACTGAAGAAATTACATGTGGAGAGAAGAAGGGATAGAGGTTGGTGATGGGGGACATATTCAAATCTGAACTCTGAACCTGGTGGCCTCAGTGTTTCAGACCTCAACTTGCATCTGCTTGAGACAGAACAACTAAATGGTGCTTTTTATTTTCAGTGCGCTGTACTGTTTTGTGATTGGACACTTTTTGGTTCTTTTTTGTTGACTATATTCATCATTGAACCAGTTGACAATAAAGTTATAAACATTTTCTTCTAAGTGTGTTTGTCCACTGCTTCTGAAAGATCTTAAAGTAAAACCACACCTCACTGAACTTTGAACCTAAATGTGCATTAGTCTGCTGTCATTTGTGCTCCCTGTGTCTTATAGACCAGCTTTTCTTTGTGTGTATCACATAAACAGCTCCAAGGTTAATCTGCTCCAGGGTTTTCCTGAAGAGGAGAGGAACGCTTGTTTCTCTGCTACACTCACATGACATATTGAAACGCTTATAATGCAGTGGAATATATCTTTGCTTTGTGGTGTGGTGCGATTGTTTTTGCTCTGCTTTGCTGAGGTTTGTTCCTCTCTTGAGAAACATACAAAGTGTTGGCATGACAGACACACTCAGATCCATCAAAAGACACAGCACAAAAAAGTTCTGTGATCCCTCCTGCAGCAACCACACAGCAGGTGCTATCACTCAGGTAATGCAGCTCTTGCTGGGTTTTCTGTGGCACATAATAGCTTTTGTATTTATATTTCACCAACAAGGAGATTATGTGGAGCTAAACAAGGTCAAGGAATAATTTATTGTTAAACTTGACATCGTTTGAAAAGGGGTCAGAATTTTATTCTGATGTGTAAAGTTAGTATTAACTCTTTATAGAACACTGCTAGTTGTTCGTTGTGTCTGGTCTAAATTACCTCCAGAACTGTCTGTTCAACACTGCCAGTGACCATTGTGAACAGTGTAAAGAGGGTTACTATGGAAATACAGCCAACAGAACCTGTCGTATCCATCCATGACCCTTTATATGGAACAAGTCAGTCTTTTTTTTACTACCTAGGTCAACAAAGCTCACTTCAGTGTTTCTGCATCAGTATGAGGACTATATTTATTCTTTCTTAGTTTTGCACTGTTTCATCTGGACATCGACTCAGGGGTGGCTGAATGCCCGTGTAAACATGTTTACAGTGAAGGCAGATGTGAGAGGTTTGTCTGCTGATCAATAAATGGTACATTACCAAACATGACCATCATTTGTATTTCAAGATTATGACCATTAGTGCAAAAACATTGCCTCCTAATCCCCATGGTCCACTGCTCAGTGCTACTAAAAAGACAAGTAATTTATGTTAGTACTGTATGCAAGTTTGTTTCTAAAAATAAAAATAAAAAAAATATCCAAAAGCAGCTTTTTTCTTCTTGTTTCTTTTCTTGTTAAGGTGTGCATGTGGTTACTATGGCAATCCAAAGGTGCCTGGAGCCAATTGTAAACTCTGTCACTGCAAAGTTGGGACTTTGTTTGTGTTTCTCTGACTGGAGGTAAATAAAAAAAAAAAATTCCCTACTCGCCCCCCGCTTTTTGACAAATACTGTACCACTTACTATTAGATTTACATTTTTCTCAGCATTAGTATTCTGACAAAATGCCTCCAGAAATATCCATCAAGACATAAACAGTATCATTCTTGTCCCCCCTAAGTTATATTGATACCCAAAAATGACAGTGAGAAAATATTAGGATGTCACATGGTAATTGATTATAGCTGAGCTAAAATAAATTAAGTAAATATTTTATATTTTGCTTCTAAGATTGAAGACTGAATCTGCAAGAATCAAACATGTGCGCTTGCCTTTCTATCGTATATTGTTAAGAATGTTCTGAATTCAGCAAGTGAATAGTGAATTTCTTGCTGTTGCATCAATACACTTTGATCACAAGGAGGGAATGTTGTCTTTTTTTTCATACCTGAAAAGGGAAGTGTATAGAGGCACTGAGATATCATGGAGAGAGAGAGACAGAGTTTCATAAGATTGTACAAAAGAAACAGAGGAGTCTGTGTTCTCATTTGATCAAGTCAAAAGAATGTGCACAAAGCAGTAACGTTTAATGCATATAATATATTTAAGACCAGGATGACATACATTAATTTATGACTTTATGCCATACTTAATTTGTGTATCATGAATGATTTGTTTATCTCTAGCTTGGAAAAGTCACATCTGCAAGATGTGCTACTGTGCCAAGTCAAATTCATATAGTTTCAGTGTTTTCATTCAACTTTCCAAACAAACATTTGATAGCATCAAAGTTAGGAATATTTAGATGAATTACTTTTAAAGCAAGCAAGCCCAGACTTTGGTCTAGTGGTCACATTAACATGTGATATTAGCATCTCATTTATCAGCTTTTGAGCTCTGCAATGTTTTACAGATAGTATAAATCCAAATGTTCAAATGCCTTAGAGTGTTTTCATACAATTTTCATGGTAGATTCAATCCATTCTTTAATGTCAGGTATCTTAGTATAGACATATGTTTTTAGATCTGATTTTGTTTTAAAGAAACCAGCAAACACCCCATATGCCTTTCCATCTTCACAGACCAATGGACCGCCAGAGTCTCCCTGGAAATACATCCACAGTATGTAATGAGTGCTTCAACATTGCATCAGCAGAAGTGAATGAATTACAATTATTGACCAGATATGTTTGTCTGTTATATTACATAATTGTTTGTATAGTACCTCAGCTGGTCCAGTTTCTCCCTCAGAGCAGTAGAGATTGTCCTCATCACACCGCTTATGATCAATGAGCTTTACATTGACTTCCATGAGCACGACAGAGTTCAAGTCTGAAGTATTATCCCTGCCCCAGCCAGAGACGGTACATGCTTTTGGCAAACCACTGTGGTCTCCTAGAGCAATGGGTCTCACGTTTTTGTTGAAATGTGCCTTGGAGCTCAACTTGAGGAACCGGGACAGATAAAAATATATTTTTGCACATCAATATGTACAGTGTAATTACAATACTGCTTTGTTTCATTCATTGCTAATAAAATATTGAGAAACACAAGTTGATAATGATGGAAAAAAGGCTAAATCAAATTCTACTGTGAAGTACAAGCATTTTAAATACAGTTCTCATTTATTTTACCTTAAGAAGCATTATGTCATTTTTGCAAGTTCCGTTGAAGTCTTTATGTGGAAATGATCTCTCAACATATTTACCCTGTACTTCGGCTTTGTTATGAAAATTGTGAAGTCCTAGTAAGACATAGGACCTGAAATGATAAAATAAAGATAAAAAGTTATCTGGGAGTAAATAGATTAGATTTTTGGTCAAAGCATTGTATTCACATTTTTGTCACAGCTCATGAAGCCCTCATGCAGTGTATTCATCTATGTTGTTGGGATAAGAAATCTTCTCAAAGGCTCAAGAATTCACAGTTGGTAAACCTGAAGTGTAATAGACTGACTTGGCTTGACAGTGGGCTGCAGTGATCACGAAGTCCTCATTCAGAAGGAAGCCACCGCAGTACTTTTTTTCACCATTACTTGTGTGGCACTCCAAAAGCGCCATGTATGTCCTGCTATGTGGCACAGCCTCATGGCCTCCGATAATTTTTGCTGTATGAGCTGGGAAAAACAAAAAATATAAATGTATGTGCAATATGTATAAATGTATGTGTATAAAGCCAAAATGATATCACAGTTTGAACATAAACTGAACACCTTCATGACAACAACATTTACTGTAGGACAGCCATGTTAAACTGAATTAGTTTCACTGTACTTATTCATCTGAAACCTGAGGGTGGAATCTAGATCCTCATATAATGTAGCTTAAGTATATAGTATAATATTCTTACATACCATAACAACTTACCTTGGCCATCAAGACTTATCACAAGTATCAGTATTACCAGTTTACAATTGATGAACATGGTGAGATCACAGTCCAGCTGAGCTACTGAAGAGCAGAGGCACACTTCACTGAAAATGTCAGTCTTTAAATGCTTCCTTGTATTAAAGGAAGAAGGAAGTGTTTGTGTAGTTTTCAGGATGTGGCTTTGAGTCATATTTCTAAAGATGCCATATCTTTATCACCTCCATAGCATAATGAAAGTTAAGAGTTTAGTAGTACAAAACAACATCCTTTAGACAATCTTTAATAATGTTCAATTCAGTTCAATTTTATTTGTATAGCGCCAAATCACAACAAAGGTCATCTCAGGACACTTTACAAAGGTCTAGACCTCACTATTATTAGCATTCAACCATTGTATATATTACAAAAAAGAGCCAAATGTTCAAATGCCTTAGAGTGTTTTCATACAATTTTCATGGTAGATTCAATCCATTCTTTAAAGTCAGGTATCTTAGTATAGACATGTGTTTTTAGACCTGTTTCTGTTTTAAAGAAACCAGCAATCACCCCGTATGCCTTTTCATCTTCACAGACCAATGGACCGCCAGAGTCTCCCTGGAAATACATCCACAGTATGTAATGAGTGCTTCAACATTGCATCAGCAGAAGTGAATGAATTACAATTATTGACCAGATTTGTTTGTCTGTTATGTTACATAATTGTTTGTATAGTACCTTAGCTGGTCCAGTCTCTCCCTTGGAGCAGTAGAGCTTGTCCTCATCACACCGCTTATGATCAATGAGCTTTACATTGACTTCCATGAGCACGACAGAGTTCAATTCTGAAGTATTATCCCTGCCCCAGCCAGAGACGGTACATGCTTTTGGCAAACCACTGTGGTCTCCTAGAGCAATGGGTCTCACGTTTTTGTTGAAATGTGCCTTGGAGCTCAACTTGAGGAACCGGGACAGATAAAAATATATTTTTGCACATCAATATGTACAGTGTAATTACAATACTGCTTTGTTTCATTCATTGCTAATAAAATATTGAGAAACACAAGTTGATAATGATGGAAAAAAGGCTAAATCAAATTCTACTGTGAAGTACAAGCATTTTAAATACAGTTCTCATTTATTTTACCTTAAGAAGCATTATGTCATTTTTGTAAGTTCCGTTGAAGTCTTTATGTGGAAATGATCTCTCAACATATTTACCCTGTACTTCGGCTTTGTTATGAAAATTGTGAAGTCCTAGTAAGACATAGGACCTGAAATGATAAAATAAAGATAAAAAGTTATCTGGGAGTAAATAGATTAGATTTTTGGTCAAAGCATTGTATTCACATTTTTGTCACAGCTCATGAAGCCCTCATGCAGTGTATTCATCTATGTTGTTGGGATAAGAAATCTTCTCAAAGGCTCAAGAATTCACAGTTGGTAAACCTGAAGTGTAATAGACTGACTTGGCTTGACAGTGGGCTGCAGTGATCACGAAGTCCTCATTCAGAAGGAAGCCACCGCAGTACTTTTTTTCACCATTACTTGTGTGGCACTCCAAAAGCGCCATGTATGGCCTGCTATGTGGCACAGCCTCATGGCCTCCGCAAACAACACTGAGGGCTGCTGTACCAGAGGCAAATACCTCGTTTGTCGAACACACCTGGCCAATAAAGTTGATTCTGAATCTGAGGAAACCTGGAGAAAGGTACAGGGGGAGAGACGGCACACAGAGAGGAGACACATGGTTAGTGACTCATAATGATGGCATATAGATGCATGGAGGGAGAGGAGAGGACAGAGCAGAAGACAGAGGAGGAGAGGAGCTCAGAGCATCATGGGGGACCTCCAGTAGTCTAGACCTATAGCAGCATAACTAAGGGAAGGCTCAGGGTCACCTGATCCAGCCCTAACTATAAGATTTATCAAAAAGGAAAGTCTTAAGTCTAATCTTAAAGGTAGAGAGGGTGTCCGCCTCCCGAACTGAGACTGGGAGTTGGTTCCATAGGAGAGGAGCTTGATAGCTAAAGGCTCTGCCTCCCATTCTACTTCTGTGGACTCTAGGAACCACAAGTAAACCTGCACTCTGAGAGCGAACTGCTCTGTTAGGATGATAAGGCTCTACGAGGTCTTTAAGATACGATGGAGCCTTGTCATTAAGGGCTTTGTATGTTAGGAGAAGGATTTTAAATTCTATTCTGAATTTTACAGGGAGCCAGTGGAGAGAAACTAATATGAGAGAGATATGATCTCTCTTGCTAGTTCCTGTCAGTACTCTGGCTGCAGCATTTTGGATTAACGGGAGGCTTTTTAGGGAATTATTGGGACATCCTGATAGTAAAGAGTTACAGTAGTCCAGCCTGGAACTAACAAATGCATGGACCAGTTTTTTAGCATCACTTTGAGACAGGATGCTCCTAATTTTTGCAATATTGCGCAGGTGAAAGAAGGCAGATCTAGAGACTTGGTTTATGTGTGATTTAAAGAACATATTCTGATCAAAGATGACTCCAATAAGTCCAGTTGATTTTTTCTAAGGTTTTTTCAGTTTACTATGACCTGGATGACTGAGAATCTGCACAGACTTGATATAACATTGTTATATGGAAAACTATTATTATATGTAATAGTATTATAATACTGTATAGTGTTATTATGTAAATGGTATGTGTGTATATATGTTGTAGTCTACAGTGTATAGTACTGTGTATGTGTTTTATATACTACAGTATATGTGTGTGTATGCAGTATGTACTGCATATACACCTGTACTATGCAATGTTATCAGTGAGCTACCAAAAAAATGAAAATGTCAACAAGATTTTGTTGAATAAAAAAGGTAATCTAACAGAAGACTTCATCTTTATACTTACACAGTATATAGCAAAATAATCTTTTTTTAGTCTTGTTTTTTAAGCAAGAAGCTAATCTACAATATATTCTTTATCAACCAAGTTCATTACGAATTGTGAAACAGGATGCAGGCCACTAAAAAGTTATTGCATAACAGCATATACTGTCAGATCATAGCACGATTACCCCTTTTACCAAAACTGATTACTGAGAAAACTAATGGCAGCATGAGATTGTGGCAGATGTTTTGAGGTATCTACAAACCTGCTACTGGCAATAATGATATAATTAAAATAAAATAAAATGGGGAGTTGCAAATATTGTTTTGTGGGTAAAGATGATAGATATCTAATTGAGGTAGGCTATGTAAACACCTAGTATAAGTGAGAGATAGTGTCTGTTATAAGAAGTCTAAATTTAGCAGTAAGCTTAACTATTATACATCTGTCTTGCTTCTAAAGAGCATGTGTCAGCTTCCAGATGTGCACAATAGTGCCATTCTTTCTATACAGTATGAGCAATGCATTTGTTTGTTTGTTTGTTTTGTTTTGTTATTCCTATGTAAGAAGAGTATGAGCCTGGTTTGGTTGTCCTATGTTATAATGCAACAGCCACCTGGGTGTTGATGACAGACCTACTATAGCTAGATACAACTGATTTTTGTAACACTAGTACAATTAATAAACATTACTTGCTAGTGTTACGGTCAAGACCACCTAAACCAAGACCAAGTCATGACCAAGACCAGAGTGTATCAAGACCAAGATTTTAAGGGATTTTAAGACCAAGACCAGACAGTGCAACTCCCATACTGCACGACACACTTGCGATAAAATGTGGACCATGCAAAAGGCACTACATAAATTCATCTGAATGATCGGCATTTGCATAAAAACACCCAATGAAAGCAAATGAATATTTCTTTTCATTCAACTTTTATATTGTATTTTATACTGTGTATATTATATATTCACTCACCAGCCACTTTATTAGGTACACCTGTACTATTGTACAGTGCAACACTTCCACCTTAACATCTGTGTTTATGAAGCTCAAATGTTTCAGGTTTTGGTGAAGTTGTGCTAAATGTATAAATTTAATTATGTGTCTATTATTGATGTCATAGTTAAAGGTGGTGTTGTACTGACTACTACAGGCTTATTCTTTCCTGACATTTGTTTCAACACAACTTCAGAATCAGAATCTGCTTTATTGGCCGGGTGTGTCGGACACACGAGGAATTTGACTCAGGTACATCGCTCTCAATGTGCAAACAGTAAACCAGCATATGGCTGTGTAATATAACAAAATTGCAGTATTAACATCAACAACCAGTGCAAACAATGCAGAAAAAGCAGTATAAACAGACAGTAAGTAACTTACAGTATTACCTAGGTATAACCTAAGTTTTACAGTAGCATCGTATAAAATGTATATGTTTTAAACATGCTTTAGCGTGTATGTGTTAAATAAAGAAAGGTAGATTTAAAATATGTGAGCTGCTTGATCATATAAAATAAATGTAGCGTAGATTTAATAAGTACATAGAATATAATAAGCATAGAGAATAGCTACATGGTACTGAAAGTAGGGAGCTTATATAATAGTGCCTAAACAATATCAAAATAATCATTTTACAGTTTAAAAACAAAATGTGCTTGTATGTGAAAAATGGCAGAAGACATGTCCACCCTGAACACTGGCCTTTCTGTCTGTTAACAAAGCACAGATCTGATTAGGCTCAGGGCCATAAATGAGAGGAGAGTTTCAGCTCGAAATTTAGATATTGAATAGTGAGTCTCTTTTTTTGCATCAATAGTCTTTGGTCACAAGGAGGGAATGGTGTCTTTTTTAAATTTTATTCATATGCATACACTGTGAAAGAGCAACAGTTTATTGTTTGATGTATAATGGTACATTTGATCAAGTTAGAAAGAAGCTGCACAAAGCAATGTTGTCTTTAATACATACAATGTTGTTTTCAAGTACAGCACAACACAGTTTCTACAGAGCATTCAGTTGATATTACAGCTATTAAACAGTGTTGAATCTATGCAAAAAATGTTAATTTTATGGCATACATAATTTGACATCATCAAACGTAGGCATGTTTTGATTTAATCTGTGTAAAGCAAGCAAGTCCAGACTTTTGTCTCATGGCCCCACTGATATGGAATCAGTGGCAATATTAGCAATTATAATCTCAAGATCTGCAATGTTTTACAAATAAACTGAAATACTGTTAATCCAAATCAAGCGTTACGTACTTAGAGCTTTTCCACGCATTTCTTATGGTCGAAGTGACCCAGCTTTTGTAGTGAGAGATCTTAGAATAAAAATGTATTGGCGGGGCACCTGAGTGTGGTTTTAATGAGTTTGACACTACCCCATATGCCTTTCCATCTTCGCAGACCAATGGACCACCATAGTCTCCCTGGAAGTACATCCACAGCATACAATGATTGCTTCAGCAGAAGTGAATGAATTATCATTATTGGCCTAGAGTTTGTCTTTGTTATGTTATGTAAATGTCTGTATAGTACCTCAGCTGGTCCAGTCTCTCCCTTAGAGCAGTAGTTGTTCTCCATAGAGCACCGGATATCATCAATGAGCGTTACATTGACTTCCTTGAGCACGACAGACATAAATTCTGAAGTATTATCCCTGCCCCAGCCAGAGACAATACATGCTTTTGGCAAACCACTGTGGTCTCCGAGAGCAATGGGTCTCACGTTTTTGTTGAAATGTGCCTTGGAGCTCAACTTGAGGAACAGGAAGAGATAAAAATATATATATTTTAAATAAAAAAAATACTGAATTTTGAAGCTGAAATATCAGTTCACATTTCTCCAGTGATCACATTTGCCTGTTGTAATATATTTCAGGCAAACTATTGTTCACTGATTATGAATGCATACATGATATGATGTAAAAGAAAAACTGCAAATTGCAAAATGGACAAAAGCAAATTAATGCCATTACCAGCAAACATTTTCTTACCTTAAGAAGCATTATGTCATTTTTATAAGAGGTTGCATTGAAAGCCTTATGTGGAAATGTTTGGTCCACAGGTATAGGTTGTATGTTCTCGATCGGAGAGCGGTGTGCTCCTATATAGACAAAGATGTGCCTGAAAAGACAAAAATGAAGATAAAAAGTTATCTGAGCGTAAATATACTAGATTTTTGGTCAGATCATAGTATTCACAAAAAATAATAAATAAATGTTTTATCATAAGAAATCTTCTCAGGGGTTTGAAAATTCACAGCAGGTAAACCTGAAGTGTATTAGACTGACTTGGCTTGGCAGTGGGCTGCAGACATCACAAAGTCCTCATTCAGAAGGAAGCCACCACAGTACTTTGGTTTACCATCAGTTGTGTGCTGCTTCACAAGCACCATGTATGGCCTGCTATGTGGCACAGCCTCATGGCCTCCAATAATTTTCCCTGTATGAACTGGGAAAAAATTAAATACATAGATATTCAAAGCAAAGCGATGACAACTGATCTTACTGATGTCTTGAACAGTTTTCCTGAACTGACCAAAACTGTCTAATATGTATACAATATCAAGCTGGAAAAGTAAAAATAAAAAGTAAATTATATGCAGCAGATAAAATGTTATCTAACTTACCTTGGCTATCAAGAGATAGCACAAGTATCAGTATTGCCAGTTTACAATGGATGAACATGGCGAGATCACAGTCCAGCTGAGCTACTGAAGAGAAGAGTTACACTTCACTGACAATTCTGTCTTTAAATACTTCCTTGTATTAGATAGAAGGAGGTGCTTGTGTAGTTTGCATAAGCAAATGATATGGCTTTTGAGCAACATTCATAAAGGAGACACCTATATGACAGTACTAGTCTAAAGTTGTTAGACAACTTTGTTTACATACACAATATGTAATGCAACATTATGGTTCAGCTAGGTTGAAAATATGAATGTGATAAGAATGTGCAGACATGACATAAATCCTGATTGGTTATATTTGTTACTGTGTTTTGCTGACCTTTCAACTGAAGTCTTTTGATAGGTAATTAATGTATCTTTATATCAAAAAAATATGGACTGGACTGACAATTCCATACATTTACATTATATGAAATGCTACTTCTCAGGTATGTCAGTGACCACAAGTGTCAGGTCAAATGGTACAAATTTGGGGATAATTCAGATCACTGTAGTAAACTGTCATAGTTCATCCACTGATGCCTCTGTGGTAATACTCACAGCTTCTCTATTAATATTTTTATGTTCAAAGCCGTGGCTTTCTCAGAGGAGGCTCTATGTCTGTCACACAGACCCAAAGGTAACATTATTTTGGTGTTATCATGCCATAAGTCAGTGCATAAAAATACGACTTGTCTGAAAGTGTGGTTTGTGGAACTTCAAGTGAAATGTATCCTCTGAGCTACCAGAGGAATGAACAAGTCATTATAATTCTGTTGGAGCCAGCATTTTTTATAAACCACCATTAAGCAAGG